TAATAATGTGAAAATTAATATGAATTCATAATTTTATTATTTTACATTTTTATACTTATTTTCTATTATTTAATTTATTTATATTGATATTTATAATGTATCAATTTATTCTATTTATAAATAATTAACTGCCTTTAAATATTTATGAAGAAAATATTATTATTATTATTATTATATTGTAATTATGGTCTACTACTTCATTTAATAACTTCTTTTTTTTATTATTATTTTCTTTAGCGTCATTAAACTTTTAAAGTCTGATCAAACTGTTTGTAAGCATTTAGGAAGTAGAAATAGGAAAAGAAAGAAGAAGCTCCACGTCCAGCACTGGAAGGTCTTTAACCTTTACTAAAGTTGTGATGATGATGATGATGATGATGATGATGATCTTAAACTAAACTAACCAGTACATGAGGAGAATCATAACCTGGTCTGACATTAACCATCAACTAAACTGATGTGTGTTTCGTTTTGTGTCTTTTTCCAGAGAGTACTCCCATCCGAGGTAAGACATCACTATAAAACACAACTAACCTTAACCTAACCACTAACTAATGACTCCAGACCAGCTCAAACGGGACGGGCTGTCCTCCTCCTCCTCTTCTTTCGTTCTGTGTCAGTGTGTGTGTGTGTGTGTGTTTGTGTCTGTGTGTGTTTAATGTCAGTGTTGGGAGTCAGACAGGTGTCGGGTTGCGCTCGGGCCACACGATTCACGCTAATGAGGACGCTGGGTAAACGTGACGCTGCTTTCCTTTCAGTCCTGATCTCATCTCCAGCGGTCCGCTCGAATACCAACACTGACGTGACACAAACGTTAGCAATAGTTCATCAAATTTACTTTTCCAACTCAGATGTGCAGTTTGGAGGTGATATCAGGACTGATATTCGCTCCTGATCTAGATCCATGTTCATTTCATTATATCTGAAGACAATGCGATGTCTCTAACTTGAATAAAGTGCTTTTTTTTTCACAGCGAGCAGGTAGGTAAACATCAACCGTCTGATTTTACATTCCTATCCGGGGTAAACGAAGGGTGAACAGCTACACTTAAACTGTAATAACGATTTTGCACTGCTTTAAATTATTTTGTGAAATTTTTTTTTTTAGATGTTGGTCAATTTTGTATGTTTACGGGTGCCTAAATTGTTAAAGATTGTGAGTGAAACACTATATATATAGACTATATTGTATAGTCTATATGTATATATACTATAATTTAATCATAATATTATACAATAATTTAAATGTATATAGATAGACAGAAAGACAGACAGATTATACATAGATAGATGGACGGACAGACGGACGATAGATAGATAGATAGATAGATAGACAGACAGACAGACAGAGATATAGATAGAACGACAGACGGACGGACGGACGGACGATAGATAGATAGATAGATAGATAGATAGATAGATAGATAGATAGATACTTTGAGTACATTATATTGGCTACAGCTAGTAAAGTATCCAGCCTAATAGCTCTTTCGTAGATTACACACTCCAACATGCATATTTATAATGCAAAAACCAGCATATTAATCATTTTGCTGCTCGCTAAACTGAACGTGACTTATAACGCAGCGCATTTGCATAACGGGATTAGTGATCCAAGACAGAGCTCTCGCCCAGAGCAGCTTCTGCAAACTCAGGCCCAGTCTGGGCTAAATGTGCCGGAGCAGGACCGTTACGCCACGCTTTCAGGCTCCTAAGCCAAGCTAAATTACAGCACGCGCGCACTGATTGGATAGCGACTCAGTTGCATGTTTGCATGTGTCACGTAAACGTTATCTTAACTCATGCCAGTTCGGTCTGTTTAAGTTTTGACCTGTGCACCTCTAAATGACAGTCAATGCGGCCCGTCCAACGTGTGCACGCGTCATTGGCGTCTTTATGCGAGCGCTACAAGCCAACAGATGGAAGCTGACAACAATTGCATTATGTATCTCCCCCGTGATGATGCTCTCACATTTAATGACCTTGGTGTGTGTCAGTACACAAACACACTAGTCCGACAGTCATTGCACACCAGCGTTTTAAAGCAAAAGTCCCATTTTTTTGCACATTTTTTCACGTACCCTTTTTGCATATACTTAGAGGATTGTTTGACATAAAATATGGGAATAAGAAATATAGGAGAAGGAACAGTTTAGAATAAAAAACTTACTCCTTATTGAATACTACACATTATACACCATATGCTTTCAGCTTTCATTTCATTTCATTTCAAAAATACCTTGAGTGTATTTTTTAAAGTATTTTATTTGATTTCCAGTTTAAAAAAAAAAGAATAATACATAAAACAAGATAAATGAAGCAACCATGCATTAGATATTTAGACTTGTTTTCATAAATTATATCTTGGTTATAAGTATATTAAATTTATAAAAACGTCCCTTATGTTTTATGCTGTATTGTTTTTGAAGCAAGTTGTTTTGGGGTATTTTTAGATATTTTAACTGGAAAAAAGTCAAAGTACACTTTTTTTTTTTTGCAATATAGTTATTATCTCTGAAATAAAATCGTTATTTGGACATCTTTAATTCAGTTTCATTGGAGATTGTCTTAACTTTTGACGGATTAATCAAAAAATAAGTTTAAAAAGTTTTTAGTCTTAAATTGAAAAAAAAGTATTTTTAAAATTTAACTTCCAGTTAAAATTATACAAAAATACACAAAACAAGATAAAAGTAGTTCAAGCAACACTGCATCAGTTTTCATAAATTATATCTTTATTATATGTGTATTAAATTCGTATTAAAGATGCAATTTATAAAAACATCCCTTTAATATCTTATGCGGAGTTGCTTCTGTTGTAATATATCTTGTTTTAGACATTTTTAGACAATGCAACTGAAAAATTTTGTCAAAATACAAATTTTTGGCAGTATAGTTATAAAATAAAACGGTTACTTGGACATATTTAATTCAGTTTCATTTGAGATTGTCAACGTTTGGTGGATCAATTGAAAAATAAATCAAAAAAGGGAAAGCATTGTGCATTTCGCATTGCATTGTGGGATGCAGTATATCATCCATTGTGCTGTGCAAATCTAGCAGTCATCTCGATATTCTAAGCATTCAAAAAAAGTATGCATATTAAATCCTGCTAGCACCCCAAGTCTTCACCTCTCTCTCCTAATCAGTTCCACCCATTCAGGAAAATAAAAAAACAAGAATGTGCTTGATTCCACAAACAAATCAATCATGCCCAGGCATTGCCCACTAATTGAATTACACAAATAGGACTCTAGGTGCAGGAAAAAGTGTGTGTGTGTGTGCTGAAGATGGTCAGGTTCCTGTTGGTCGAGAGCTGTTACTGAGCCTAATCAAGCATACCGAGAGCCGTCACATGCACACGGGCTCTAATAGACAGCTGCATGGTTGCGCTGGTCACGGTTAACGGCTCCCCTCGCCTCCACACCTGGCTGCCACGCTCCACGCCCCAGCAGAGCTGCCTCCTGACACGGCCTCCTCTTTACAGACAGCCCAGCCTGTTTTCCCCCCATGATCCGGGATTGGATGGATGACGAGAGATGACAAGACTTCATCTCCCGAGGCCATCGCTAAAGTCCGAACCGGTCACAGGTCAACGGTTACCCCGTGTCCGTCAGTCACAAGCGCACGCCAACTCCGGCTGTTCGTGACAAAAACACTTAATGGCCAGTTTAAAGGACACGGGTCGTATTGACACCGAAGCAGTGGAGAATTCCCAAAAAGAGCTTTCTGCAGTCCGTGACTAGTTGGGTTTTGCCGGCAAAGCATGATCAGCAGAAGTCCATCAGTAGGCCTGTAGAGCTTGAGAGATTTCCACAGAATCAGAACCGCTGTCAGTCACCAAGACCTTGTGTGTTTGTTCATTAAATACTTATTTTATTATACTAATTTGGCTCCACCAACAAACTCCACCAAATTCCATAAATGTACACCCCCCCCCCTAATTTGGCCTGATTGTCAGTCAGCTTACACATAGTACACTCAGAAGGCATTTGAATCCGTTAATGTATTCGTTATTGTTCAGCTTCAGCTTCAGATAATAGTTCAGAGCTAGAGGGCTCATGTCAGTTAGCTGGTTGCGTCTTGGCACAGATATTCAGAAAATGACTTCCACTTGCCTTTTATCATAAAGGGTATTGTGCGGCGTTATGACTCTTTGAGCTCGACACTATTGGTTAAAGTAAGATTAAGCTTGTTTTGTCGCAAGCGGTGCCGCTAACGGAAGGCTACACAAGCAGCCTCAAAGACACCACAGGCAGGATGGATAATGGAAATTCAAAATGTAATTATACATAACAGATAATAATTGAAAACATTCTCGGGCTGAGCGAAAGGGAGATTTGAGGGAAGAGTGAGAGGGATCAAAGACATTTTGTTCAGTTTCCGACATGTTAAATGTAGTCAGGGAATGGTTTTGTTGTTGTTGTTAAAGACCCCTCTTGCGTAGTTAGCTAGTGACTGTTTGGGGGAAAAGCACAAAATGGGATGCACAGTAAGACTAGAAAAGTAACAGAGAATGTAGACACCTTAATAAGGTTTATGTTAACTTTTCCTCACTGTACCAATGAGCAGTAAAGACAAAGAAATTGATAGACTTGAGAAAGACTGCTAAAGTAGGAACAGTGTCATTCCCTCCCCAGATTATAGATTCTCAGTGAGCTTTTCCGAACCCAAGCGGAAACAGGGAAGGGGAAAAAACGCAGCTGCAAATATGTAATGAAGTCAGTGGGGAATCGTCAATCGGCTGAATAACAAGCAGGAGTACCCAAAATAGTCCAGTTCAGGCAGGAAGCAGCCCTGAGAAAATTTGCTTGCTTTGGAGCCGCTGGGAATTAATTTGAATTTAATGAATTTGGATATGCTATGTTCCTTGCTAAGATTTCCTCAATGACATTACTCAATCATTAGCTAGCTGTTCATAGAAAAGGGCATCACACCCCACCCCAGCGAAGGCAAGAAAGAAAGACGGGGAGAATTCAGAGCTTCCCGAGAGCTTGGCACACCACTGTGGCATGGTTTATTTATCAGCCCCTGCTCCAATAACATTGAAATTCGTGCCTTTTATCTGCAGTCCGAGGCTCCAGAATTGACGAGAGAAGGAGGTTGCATGCCTGGTGGAGATTTCCACCAGATTTTCCGTCGGCGTCCCGTAGCACAGGTTGCACGCGAGCGGTGCCCTTTCGGCTGCGCACCTGAGGAGACATTAGAATGCTCTCCAAGCCCACCTGCTGTCGCCCGGCCGCCCGCTGCGCCAATGTGCACATCAAACGATCCGTGTACCAGCACACACACTTTAGAAACTACCTTCCATTTTTGTCTCTCCCTGCCACGCCTCTAAACTCCCTGATCCCATCATGCTGTTGATCCGCCGCGAGCAGGTGTGAGTCATCGACCCAGAAGCCAGAATCTCATTGGCACCCAGAATGTTCCACAGGATGCAGACTGTGTGCTTAAACCACAGCGTGAGTCCCTGCAGTTGATGTCCCGCCACCGCATGTGGCAGTAGCCGAAGGTTGACGTCTTCGTTCAGCCAGAATGAACATCTCTTAGGGAGAGACGCTACCTGTCGAAAAGCAGTGGTAGAGTACTCGAAGACAGATAAAGAAGAGTTGGTGTGGGGTGGCTTAGTGGGTAAAGCTCCAGTGGTAACGGAAAGGTTCTTGGCTCCAGAGGAAAGCCGTTAACATTCCTAGTCATCTCAATCGCAGTTGCTCCGGTGGTACATTTAGGCCTAAATTCTGCCACCTTTGCTTCAAGGGAACTCTGTAGTTGCAAATGCATCAGCAGCAGACTGGAAACCACAGGAAAGTGCGTCTAATGCTGTTAAGAGCCCTCAAAACAATTGATCACATTTTATATAATACAATGAGAATGGTGCTTGCCTAAAATGTTTTCAGAGGCAGTCAGAATACCTCTTATCGAGTTTGTACTAGGATGGTTGGGTTTAGTGATTTAGCCTCAGAAAATTAGTCCCTGTTGGTAACAACAGTATTTTGGTTTGCAAAAATCATACTTTCTCATCGACGGCCTTCAAGAGTACGGCGATAAATGCAGTAGTGGCTAACTGAAGCTACTCAGCGAATCCAACCACCTATGTTAAGAGCCCTCGAAACAAATTATCACATATAGTAAAATAAAATGTTTTCACAGGCAGTCAAAATACCTTTTATGAAGTTTGAACTAGGGGGTTGGTTTCGGTGATTTAGCCTCAAAAAAATTAGCCACTGTTGGTAACTACAGCATTTTGGTGGCAAAAACAAACAAACAAAAAACATACTTGACAGCCCTCAAAAGCACAGCTAAAAATGCAGGAGGGGCTGACTTTCTTATGCTATTCATTGAACCCATCCCCTTTTTCAAACCCTGTAAACTTAACCCCTAGCCCCTAACCCTAGTCATTACCATGAGTAAGACCTTTAGTACGTCTTCAGCTTATTCCAGGTGAATTCATGGTGAAGTTGCACCGTACGTTTCTTTGAATAAGGATTTGTATGCTAAGTGGAGCTTAATATAAATTTTTCAGTCTGCATATGTTTCAGCATACATGACAATGACCTTGGTTGCAACCCAACCCTGGGGCCTAATATGGAGGAATATCTAGTGTTTATCATGTACGACCAATAGCCATTCTCAGTTCTGCAGTAGTATCCCGAGTATTACTACAGCTCTTGGGGGACCGACAGAAATAATTCATGCCCTGGGATTTAAGTGTTGTGCTAAGCTTCAGCCCTGTGCAGCACATTTCGACATGAACTAATGGATGGTCGGCTCACAGCTCACTCTTGACCCTCACCAACTTTCCTCCCATTGGGAACGGCAGTGGTTTATCTCCTTCGACTCCACACCCTGATACTTCCCGGCACACTGATTGATGCGATCCAGCACTCCTGCAAACACCATAACATTGCTGCTAGTTCTTTTCTGTTTGCGTTTGACGGAATGCATTCAGACATATTTAGATCAGTCTAATTTTTCTTGCCTTGAGTGTGGAACTGCTCAGATTCAACACAGTGAGTTAGCGTTAAAAGGCGAAGTTGGCTTTCAAACAGGAAAGGCCTTTGAGCAATTTGTGGGGATACGATTGCGCACCAAACATACAAAATAAAATGGTTTCTGACAGTCGTGTTACTTTCAAACCTCTAATAGTTTGCCGTCTTTTCCCTCTCTCTGTCTTTTTTCCCTGTCTTTCATCCCTTTCTTTGGGGTGCATTTTTTTGCTCTCCCAGGTGCTCTGCAGATAGAAAACACTGAGGAAACCGACCAGGGGAAGTACGAGTGTGTGGCGTCTAATGTGGAAGGCGTCCGATACTCTTCCCCTGCCAACCTGTATGTGCGAGGTAGGGAGCAACCTGGCCGTGGAGCTCATCGAAAACCACCAATCAGAGACGCACGACTGGTCACATGACCTGTTATATATAAACTAATAGAGTCTTTTCGAGGCACAATTTCGATACTTAATGGGTAGTTTTCAATCTTCTATTTAACGGGAGGAAAGTTGGGTCGTACAGGTATGTTGTCTAATCATGTTTTCAGGTTGAAGAGGATGATGGTAAGTCTTGATTTTGATTGGCAGATGCACTAAACCAATCAAAATGCTAACTTATTCCAGCCTCAAAGGGAAAAAGGTAAATTGTTGCAAGGTAAACAATATGCATGTTGCTAATCACATTCAAAATGTAACATGCTAACTAGTAATTGCTAAATCTAAATAATTAACAGTCTGTCTTGGTTCAGTGGTTATTTTTATAATGGAACGTCGACTGTTTTAAGGCATTGCATTAGCACATACGGCTCTTGACGCTAACATTAAGAGGAGTTGAATCTCCAGGTTGAAGACTCAGATTTTGCGCATGTATTATTTATTTAATGCATATTAAAAAAGACAGTGTATGGGATGGGTTTTACCCGCTGTGTACCAAATAACTTTGTTCTGGATAAATTATTCACCGGCCATTATAAAATGGGTCAGAGAGTTGTCTTTTCATTATTATAGCTATTATTGTTCTCCCACTAGAAAAGATGCAGACGCTCCATCTCAAAACGACGGGTATACAGTTTCAATGAAAATTCTGTCATTTACTCATGTCGGCCCAAACCTGTCTGAATTGCATTCTTCAGTAGAATACAAATGATGTCTAATATTTCAGCATTAGACTTTACTTTCGTTGAATGGAGAAAAAATGTCTTCTTTTGCATTCTACAGAAGAACAAATAAAGGTTTCGATTAACATGAGGGTGAGTAAATGATGACAGAATGATCATTTTCAGGTGAACAATCCATTTATTTATTAATTAATTTACAAATTATAAAATGCATAGTTGCGGCTATAAAAAAACGATATTTAATTGTGATTACCATAAATTATAAATGATTGACTATTGGTGTGTTCTATCAGTTATCACCTGTTTATTAAAGAAATATGCCACAAGAGGCCTTACTTTTGCAGTGATATTACCACGGTAAGGGTATTTTGTGCACATTATACCTTATAGCATCTCTTAACCATGGTAAAATCAGAGTAAAACTATGACTTTATGTGGATTATTGCTATTTTACTCTGTTTTGAAATATTTAAGTCATTCAATTTTATAAGACCTTAAACAGTGTTAGATGTTCAGTAACATTTGATCTGATGTCTAGTGACATTTCAGTAATTGGCCGACTGGAGATTTCTGAAATTCATTCAAATTACTGCAGCGATAATTAATTCAACATAGGTATGCTAATTTCTCACTGATTATGCGCATACTGCATTAAGACCGTATCCCGTCTCCTTTTGTTTTGTTTTCAAAGCTTAATAACTGAGTACAATCAAATGTTTTCTGTTCTAGAGTTAACGGCACTTGAAATTAGCAGCTACGATGGAGGAAACAACCCACCCATTTATACGAGCAAAACTGCACTTTATGTGTCGCATAATAGAGCAACACTTTTAGAATCGGTTGCCTTGATTGTAGCTGCTAACTTTAATGCTAATTATGTGGTTTTTATTTGTACGGTCGGTTTGATTTGGTTTGCACTTTGGGTTGTTTCATTGATTTCTGTTTTTGTGTCTTTGTTTTGTTTCTGTAATTAAAGCCGCAGCGGCAGTTCTTCAGGTGGCTTAAGACCTTGTAATTTTGCATTGTTATAACATGCTTGAACGGACTCCAGTGGGCGAACGCAACCACTGGAGTGAATCAAACTGTTTGGGGTCAAAGCAGGTTAACGCAGCAGACATGTCGCGTGTCACGCAAGAAATAATCAGGCCACATCAGTCAGAGAAATGTAGCAGCTAAAAGCCTTGAGGTGGCCTTTTTTACTCTCTCTGTGTTTCCCCTATTTTTCTCTTCTCCTCATGTCATTGTGTTCTGCATCAACCCCTTTACATCCCTCAGAGCTTCGAGAAGGTTGGTGTGTTTTTTCTTTTTTCACTTTTTTTAACCCACATTAAAAACGCAAAATCAACATGTATTAAAACCTTAACCTTGACTGATCTATTGGAAGGATCATTGGCAATTTCGGAATTTAAAATTAAGCTGCTAAATAACTTTTAAATTCTGAGAAATTTGATTTAATTGCATAAACTAGTAGTAACTAACCCGCTAATTCGGGTTCGTTTTCCTTTTTTACGTTTAAGTTTGCATTTTGGGGCCTTTTCTCGTTTGCATCCTTCAGTATTGCTTTTGCCCAAAGAAAATGCTTATGCTGTCATGGAAATCTCACATTTGAAAGTAAACCACGGCCTGATGCATGATGGGAGAATGTAACTGCGCTTGCATGCCTCGAGACGCAATTCTTTTGGCTGTCGTGCTTTGTTGCATTCCTGTGTTTTCGTGAGGTTTATTATTTTTGTCCAAAACGACAGTTTTAGCCTTTGTTGGCGACTCATTTAGTCCATTCCTTGTGTTGTGGTGTTCTTGTGATGTGCACCCTTAGTTTTGTCCATTTTCGACTCCCTTTCTGTTCTAGTTTCTGGTTTGTTAGATGTGGTTTGTGTTTCTGTGCACTGTCGTCTCTTGTAGGCTGTTTCTACAGACAGTTTTCCCACCATCTTCTCAATTACAAAGCCGTTCTTGCACACAAAAGCTTGCAAATTCACTTCTGCTAATTAGTTTTTTGTGCCACATGGATCATTGGCCCCCCCAGAAAACAGACTTTATTTCACAGCCACAACAAGCTAGTGATATTTCCTCGTGATGACTGATTGCCTCTTGCCCTTTCGCCGTCCGCAGGCTCAATCAAATCAGGATTTATCATCCGCTCGAGTCCTTGTTGCCAGCGTACATCTGAAGCGCTTCTTACAGCACCGCAACATGCCGTATTAAAACCCCCAAATTAGACCTGAACAAAAAGCTGGTGCTTTGTTTGTTAGTCTCTAGATGCTAATCCAATGCAGCTGAGTGCAGTAATTGCACGCCTGTTTCATATGCATATCGAAGTCCAATCTGCCTTCGGCTTGTAGGTAATTTAGCTTTACGTGTTGGTTGCATGCAGAGCCGTAGCAACCACTAATATTTACCATTTTTGTGACCGTCCACAGATTTTGGGAGATTTTCAGAAACGTATATCTAAGTATAAAATATCTAAGCATACTTAAAGCAAAATAAATTTACCTGAGAACCAAAACTGTGTTCATTCAAAATTCTGTATTAGATAAAAATTTAGATAGTCTTAAATTTAAAATTCTTTTTTTTTTTTTTTTTCTTATCCAATTGGCATTTTTTTAAAGCAAAAAATCTTACAAATCTTACAAAATCTTTCAATTTAATTAAATTTAAATTTAAGTTACTTTTTAAATGAAGTTTAAATATCTTTAAGGTTTTTTTTCTTGCGCCTTTGCTTTTCTTAACGCAAAAAAATAAATTGTATTAGTTTTTCTAAACCCCATTAAAACAAAAGCAAAATCTTATTAGTTTAAGTTTATGTACTTACTTATGTAAAGTTTAATTTAACTCATTTTTAAATTTAAATGTTTAAGTTTAAATCTCAATTACTTTTTTTTTTTCGTCTAAATAGCGTAGTTTTTTCTTGGCCCCTTTGGAATTTTTTAAAGCATAAAACATACAAAATTTGATTAGATTTATGCTTAAAACTGGAAAAGGCAATTTTCCACAATTTTTTTTTTATAAAAAATAAATAAAAATAAAATAATAAGTAAATAAATAAACGAATTCACATATAAAACAAGTATAATTTGAGTACAACATTTTGTCTGAAGTAACTTATCTTGCATACATTTACTAGAAAACAAGACAAATGTATTGATAAACAGTTTTTAATCGGTTTTTAAAACGTTTTATATTGTATCTACAATTATTGTCACATGTGGTAAACATCCCTGTGAAATATTTTACCATTCTTTAGTGGTTGCAATTCATTCTTTTTTTTTTTTTTTTTTGTAGCTGTACAATGATGAATCAGGCGGAAAGCTTGCATTTAGTCAGACAAGTTTGTCCAATCGTGCGGATGGCTAACTCTCGACTGATATCTCATCGCTCTCCCCAGTGTAGTGATGTTTCAGATGGCCGTTTGTCTGTCTGTCAGGGATAATGACATAGAACAAGAGCCTCTGCTTCACTTGGCTAATGCTAACGTGTTGCTGGCTATCTCGTGATGTCTGAGACTAAATGGCTCTCTGAATTATTCCGTTTTTACAGACACTGTGTTGTTGGGAGGGGGGCGACGCCACATGAATTGAGGGTATAAATAATGAAGTGTGCTTTGCCGCTACTGTCTCTCAGGGTCTGGCATTTATTGACAGAGCTTTATTTTTCATATCTGGCTGTTCCCACTGTGATATCTGTGCCCCCTGTACCCTGATAGCTTGTTGCTGCTGGCTAGCATGCAGATAGTGTAACAGAATGAACGTATTAGCTTTCCCTAGCTGCATGTTAATCGGACTGAACAGTTAGCAAAAACAAAAATACATTTTAAACATTAAAGAAATGTAGCGGTGCTAGTGGCTAACATGCTGTTGCTTGAAAATGAGACTAGCAAAACATTTTCAGTTTTTGTGAGCTAATGTGCTGCAAAAAAAACAACAACAAAATTTCAATTCCATTTGCAGCTTTAATGGCTAGCCACTCTTTTCAAATTTCTCTCTATATTTTTTGACTAGATCTTCTTGTTAGCTGTCTACCTCAGGCGTGGAAGTTAATTGCCTCCGTATTGCAAAATCCCCCTCTGAGCCTAGACTTATCTAGTTCTCTTCTATTTCACGCCGAATTAATAACAGAAATTACGATTCTTCTTGTTCCAATGAAGTCTCTAATCTTTCATTGTTGCCGCCTGACAAAACTCTCAACTGTTCCTCCATTCAACTCCACATAATGCCAAAATGTTAAGGATCCAGAATGTTTCCAGGGCATTATTAATGGTAATTAGTCCCCGAGATGAGGAAAGCGAGACCTCACAGATCCACTCCGAGATGCTGGAAGACTGAGCTGTACCGAATGCCATGCTAAATGCTATGAGGATGTTCGGTGCATGCGCATGTAGATGTAGATGCATGTGAACCCCACTGCCACCACTTTGGGTTGTGTTGCATGTCCTTGCATGCTGTTTTGGTGTACAAATAGAAATGCAAGCTAGATCACACCCTCTACTTGTCAGAACGAAGGCTAACTTTGATCCAAATAAGTGTCGTAAAGGGGCAGTTTTTTTTGCCAAATCTAAAATGCAGTTCAGCCTCAGATTTTCACTAAGTGCTACTCATGCATTGACCAGACAATCAGGAGGCAGTGTTTTACAAATGCTCCATTTTTCATTACTAGAACTAGTCCGAACCTCAACTGAGGCTGCTTTGCATTGCAGCGGCAGAGGTGTGTGTGTGTGTGTGTTATAATACGGGAAAACCCTGCAGTCTACATGCAAATGGCCTCGCTACTTTCAAGCAAAATGGATTATTGCAGGTTTTGGACATCAAACAGGGTGTAATCTCAGCTTCAAGGTGACATTAAAGGCTGCGCATTATTTTGGTTTCCCTTCCTACCTTAATTTTGGGGCTGGACAGACTGTCTCACCAAAATGGCCACGAATGTCCACCTTCGAGCGAGGCACTCTTTGGCCTTTTTATTTTGTCTTTCTCTGTCAGTTATAAGACCTCTTGAGTTGTCTTTCTCTCCACATTGGGCTTGAAATGGGATTTCATCTCTGGACCTCAAAGAGATCGCTCTCAGCCTGCTGGGCTCCTGGTCGTATTGAATGAGGAGCATGTCCGTCCAATTGGACTGTTCTATATTCCTCTGAATATCACAGCGGCGAGCACCATCGCACATCAAACGTCAGGATTTGAGCTATAGGGCCATGTGTCAGGACTTAGATAAAGCCCAGAATGGCTTCATGCAATGGCATTTCAAAGGCTGATGCATCAATAGTGGCAGCCGTAAATGTCGACATGCATCTGAAAACATTAGACCCGCTTATGATTCCCCCTTTTGCCACAGTTTATTTGAGAGCGATGCTTTGTTGCCTGTGACTTTGAAATTGCCAGGCTCCTCACGGTCTTTTCAAATGGTTGTCCCGTTTCGAAAATAACCCGATTGTGTCTGACTTTTGATTATAATTGGGAACGTTGAAGTGCAGATTGAGCGTGCAACAATAGGATGAATGATTCACAAGGTGAAAGGTTGCAGCCCTCATTCACTCAACTACCTAAGCAATTGGTCAAACCGAATTTGACAATAGGAAAACGAACTTAAGATTTTAGCCTCTTGCAGACTTGATTAAAGAACGGCCAAATGTTGCATCGCCCATTTTGAGGCCCACACGCAAAATGTGCCGGCAGAACTCATATAGCATGTGTGTTTATTTAATATATTGGCTTATTTAACATATTTACCACATTTTACCATATTTATTTCCCTAAAATCAGTGCAGGAAATGCAAAAGCATCAGCAAATTACGTCTGGGCCTTTCCATCATTAATCTACACTAGAAGAATCACGCTCGTCTTGTCATTGTCACGTTGCACTGTGTTCTGTCACTGTTAAAACACACCTGCACTGCGATTATCTGTGTGTGCTGTGTCGAATTCACCAATTCCGACATTTCAGTTGTGTGGATTCCCTAAAATGTTGCACTTGGGGAGGGTTGCATGCCTCAATTATGTGTTGACTGTAGCTGTAGACCTGGTTGATAGTTTGGTGCCGTTCTGTTGACGTCATTCCTGCAATCACAGTCATGCATGCACATTGTGATACGTGGGCTGCCCTTTCAACTTTGTTGAACATTTGTTCAATATGCATTTATATGGGGGTGGGGGTCGTTTCAGTATGTCATTGTTTATTTTAATGTTGTTTTTGTTTTCCAAACAAATAAAGAAGTATTTAAAGGAGTGATCCAGGTTCAGTGCAAATGAAGCTCTGTTGCACTTGTGGCGTAATGTTGATTACCACAGAAAATAATTTAGAGGCACACCATTTAAACCATGTTTTTTTATTGTTTTTATAATAATAAAACATATTATGTTTAATATTTTTTTTTTTTAATTTAAAATTGTAATTATTTAATTTTTTTTATGGAAGTCATCATTATGCCTCCAAATGCTATGGATAGAGCTTGACTTCAATTGAACCTGGAAATTTCCTAGAAATAAATTACTATTTTAACTTGAATTAATTCACTTAAATTATTTTTTTTAAATCTGTATCAAAATAGATAAATTTATTATAAAATGTATTAACACACTGTTAAATATTATTTATAAACTAATGATATAAAGGTAACTTGATTATGAAATGGATTGAGTTATAATGTGATTTTCACTCACTGGACACCAACCGAGGTCATCCATCACAAAACTGAATATATTCATGTTTAATTATTGCTGTAAACTATAGATACAGAATTTAGAATGTAAAGCTAGAGCCTGTTGCCTTGACTATAACAGTATTTCTAAATTTTAAATACTTAGTTTTAAAAAGTTTTTTAAATTCTAAATTTTGGCGCCAACATTCCAACTAGATTTAAACCCACTGAACTTTCGATGGTGTTTAATTACAAATTCAAGACTTTATGCTCTTTGGCTGCTGTTGTCTGAGGCGATGGTGAGAGGTTATTCAAGCCCCATTGTGTGAGAAGTCAAACCAACATGATTTAACTCCAGTTGGCCCAGGGTTACAGTCTCCTCTTTGCCCCAATCCCCACCTCTCACTCCCCGTGTTATTTCCCTTCTGTCTCTGTCCCACATGCAACGTCCACCACTTTGTCCTTCCAGTCTGTCCGGCCCCGTCTGCTGTCTTGCAGCCTAGGTCTTGTTCTGCCTTGTGCCCTGTCTCTACCAGTTGTTCCTGTCCTCGTTTTGTCTATGTGGGGTTGTTAATTTTCTTTTTTTGTATTAGTTTGTTTGTTTGTTTGTTTGTTTGTTTGTTTTCTGAGCTAGCCCTAGCACCCATTGCTGTCCCTCTGTCTTTCCTTTCTCCTCTTGCCAAATGTAAATGAGGCATGACCCCCTCACCACCCACCATCTTATGACACACCTAGCACTACACTACTTCCTGTTTCATTGTCATTTTACATCCACCGACATCAATAAGGCAGTTGCCTTGACAATTCTTGGGGAAACCAATCTATAAAGTTTGGCACAATTAAAAATTTTACATGTAATAGGTAGCACTTCTTTAACCTGAATGCTATTGCTTTATTGCTAGTAACATCTGTATTCTAATTGTAAGTCTATTCCAAAACCTTGCAAGAAAACTAACTAGATGTATAAACATATACCTAATACCCAGTGTTTTATAAGCAACTTTATGGAGATATCTAGTTTTGGCTAAGTGATAAGATAGAATTGCATGTATCCTTCTGATAAAAGGTCAATCAAAGAATCCACCCAAGAGGTCAAAAGCGGAAGGTTTATGAAATAATTTCATTCAAGATGTTTCAGTCGAATTAAAACTGTATTGCTTTGCCCAATATTTGCATCAGACTTGGAAATGGTTGTGAGTTGGGTCTTTGGAGTATTTGTGTATTTAGAAAGTTCCCTTAGAAGGTAACGGCCTAGGCAGCTTGCTAGGTTTTGGAGCAGAGTCTGTATTTTAGAGTCATTTAAGTTTCCATTGTTTCTTGACTTTTCAACGAGTCATGTCAAAATAGCAAGGTTACCAAGAATGAACATGCCAGACAGTCTATGAAAGAAGCCTGTTGCACAACCTGGCCAACTCCATCTCTGCCATAACTCATATCCAACCCTTTCCCCCAAGGATCTCTTCATCTTTTCTCTCGTGTGTAGGTTTGGCATCTCAGTAGTTGAGGTGCATCGCTGTCATCATCATAGACTAGCATCTGTATCAGTCATGTGACCTTATTTGGACAATTTGTAATCATTTTCTTTCTGTTTCTTGTTTTTTTTTTTTTTTTTAATAAGCTATATTATAAACTTGTGTATAAGTTTCACAACTTCTTTAGGCACACAGTTCAGCTGAGTTCATTATGAAATAGTTGAATCACTTAGTATGTTTAAAGGCTCACAAATGAATATTGAGTTTCAAAAAGCACCCAGCAGTTTCCTCTCTTGTGAGTCTCCATTTAGCTGCTGCTGCTGATGTAACTGTATGAAGAAACTTTAGGGCTTTTTTCTGGCAGAAATGCTCTTTCCGTTCAGCAGAGCCACTGGCATCCTCTCTGGCTGTGAATGCTTCTAGTAGCAGCAGTTAGCAAGCATACAAATTTAAGCCGTAATCTTTTTCTTTCTGTTTTTTGTTTTTTTTTTTTTTTTATGTGTGTGATAGTTAGTTGAGCTGAACTATCAGCTATTTTATTGACTGAATCCAGAATTTCCGCTGTAAATTTTGTTACGTCTAGCCAGGACCGCAATGTGACAATACGAACCTGTCACATTACGTCATATTGGCTGGAGACGATAAAAAGCCTTTCTCTGCATTGAAGTGGGTTTCCCCCCCTCGTTCCTTTTCCCAACCCTTCCCTTTCTTCCTCTTTCTTGCTCTTTTGCGCGTTCTATTCTCTTATATTTCTCCGGGCATGCTAGCGACCCTTCAGTTATATTCCTCTATGCATTTTATCTCAAATTCTTCTCTCTGGTTTTATTGTTCCCATTTACTCTTTGGTTGACCTCTACCTATTTCTGCATGATGTCTGTGAAAATGACAGCTGCATCTATCAATGGAAGCGTGTCAGATCTTAAAAAGGCTTTGTCTAATTGATCTACTCTCAACCACAAAAATCTGATTAAGGTTTCTCATCTTTAGTCCCTCTTGAAGGGATTCACCTCTACTAGTGCATGTACGTACCAACATGTACGTACAGTTGTGTATATGTAAGATTTCTTTAGCATGGGCAGATTTTAAAAAATTGCAAAAAAGTTTTGTTCTTCACACCATTCTATACTCTTGGAGTATTTTCTATTCACACTATAAAGCTTTTCTGCTTTTTAACAGTAATGCATGCTTTTCATTTTGTTTACTGTAGTTACAAGCCACATAGAGATCTAATTGATGATGAGAAACTCATAATAGATTTTTGTGCAATTAATTGTGCTGTGATGGGTCAAATATTGGTCAATGGAACCTTGTTGCTATGAAGTTGTTGCTTTAATGTCAATCTATATTGTTGGTGAAGCAGTTCTGTTAATTTAGTTACTTTACCATTATTTTAATTTGTATAAACCAAAATGTTTGTGAAGTTTTAGTCTCATTTGTTTTTTATAATTTGTTGTCCTCTCTTTAGACAACATCATGTACGTTCTAAAGAAAGGCTCATTTTCATCTACGTGTCATTACCTTTCTCTTTCTCTTTTTCTTGTCACCATTCCTCCGCCCTTTGCAGTTCGTCGCGTGCCCCCACGTTTCTCCATCACGCCCCCCACCATGCAAGAGATCATGCCAGGTGGTAGCATTAACATCACTTGCGTCGCCGTTGGCTCACCCATGCCCTACGTCAAGTGGATGCTTAACTCTGAGGACCTGACACCCGAGGACGAGATGCCAGTGGGCAGGAACGTTCTGGAGTTAAACGACGTCCATGAGTCGGCCAACTACACCTGCATGGCCATGAGCAGCCTGGGCATCATCGAGGCTAATTCCCAGATCATTGTTAAATGTAAGAATCCACTGACTCCTCCAAGGTCACTCAAAGGTTCTCTGGTCAAAAGAAATTAAGAACTAAACCAAAGCAAGTATTTAAAATGGTGTCAAGTAGGGCTGCATGATAAATCGAAATGGAATCGAAATCGCAATTCGACAGAAGCTGCGATTGTCATGCGTATCTTTCAGTGAAGCACGGTTCTGTGATCAGCAGTAAATCTCCA